TCCCTGCTTCCTCATTTTCCCCCTCTGCCTCCTTTTCCTGCCTGCCTGCCTCCTCCTTTCTTGCCCCTGCCTCCTCGTCCTTTCCTCCCCCCCCCCCATCTCCTCCTCCTTTCCTTTCTCCCCTTGCCTCCTCCTTTTCCCTCCCTGCCTCCTCCTTTTCCCTCCCTGCCTCTTGCTTTTCTCTCCCTGCTGCCTTCTTTTACATCCCTGCTTCCTCATTTTCCCCCTCTGCCTCCTCCTTTTCCTGCCTGCCTCCTCCTTTTCCTGCCTCCTCCTCCTTTCTTACTCCTGCCTCCTCTTCCTTTCCCCCCACCTCCTCTTCCTTTCCCCCCACCTCCTCTTCCTTTCCCCCCCCTGCCTCCTCCTCCTTGCCTCTTCCTCCTTCCCCCCTGCCTCCTCCTCCTTTTACCCACTGCCTCCTCCTCCTTTTCCCTCCTACCACCTCCTCCTTTTTCCCCTGCCTCTTCCTCTTTTCCCCCCTGCTTCTTCCTTTTCCATCCTCTTCCTTTCCCTTTCCCATCCTGGCCCTATTAATTTGTCTTTTTCTTTTGTCAGCCTTTTATTTTCATGTTGAATATCATATTTTTGTCATTGTACTTTTTAAGAGCGAATAAGGGATCCTGGAGTTAATTATAAATGATATACCTCATATTTTAATAAGTGCTTCTGTTCTCTTACATTTTAGAATAATAGCAACAGTTAATAAATGATGATGATGTAGAGTTGAAGAGCAGTGTTAGGAATTGGTTGTGGTTGAAGGCAGACACCCACAAGTAGCTTCTCTTGTCTTAAAGCTAAAACTGAATCACACAAACTATAATAAAAAAAGAGTAGAGTACTTAGCATTTTCTGTAGAATTACATCTTGAATAAACCTGTTACTGTAGAAGGCGTGAGAATGTGTTTACAGTATAATGTATGCTGTACACTACTTGCCTGCTTGTGCTTGAGACTGCTTCTGCTCCCACCTCTTGAACTCTTATTGCCTATCTTTACTGATTTTCATCTAGGGCCTGATAATGACTACTATTAAAACTGTGCAGGGGCTTTGTCTAATGTATGTAGCTGCCAGTATAGGTAAAAAAAAATACCCACAGCATTTCCTTTTAACTGATTTGATGCAAGTGTTTCGTATATAATTTAGGCATATGGAGAGAAAGGGGAGGAGAGATAAAGAGATAGAGAGGCAGATAAAGAGATGGATATAGAGATAGTTAAATAGAGATAGAGATTGATTTTGTTTATCATGTCCTCCCTGGAACTTCTGTCCCCCAGTGTCATTAGGTCCAGTTTTGTTAGCCTCTCCACATAGCTCATGCCCCTTAGCTCAGGAACAGTCCTTGTCGCATACTTCTGCACTTTTTTCTTTGGTGTCTTAACATGCTTTTTCAGGTGCAGGTTCCATACTGGTGCTGCATACTCCAAGATGGGCCTAATGTATGTTATATAAAGGTCCTGGAATGACTCTTTGTTGTGATTCCTGAATTTGCCAGATGAGCATTGGCTGCAGAGGTTGTTTGACTGATGAGCCCCTGGCATTATACTGGGCACTATTCTCACCCCTAGGGCTTTCTCTTTGAGTGAAGTATACAGCCTTTGTTCTAGGGCCACCCTCTTCTTGACATATTTCTCATTTTTGCATACTCTCTCACACTTTATTTTGTTTTAGTCCCTATCATGCACAACAAATGTAAACTTGTATCTTCAATAGACATATTGCAATTATGTTGATATTGTAACTCTCCAACTCATGGGTGTCATGCAGCACACTCTTCTCATAGTTAACTAGAGTTTTCTGCTTCCCAGCTACATTTTTTTTTTTTTTTCAACAAGTCGGTCGTCTCCCACCGAGGCAGGGTGACCCAAAAAAAGAAAGAAAATCCCCAAAAAGAAAATACTTTCATCATCATTCAACAATTTCACCACACTCACACATTATCACTGCTTTTGCTGAGGTGCTCAGGATACAACAGCTTAGAAGCATATATGTATAAAGATACACAACATATCCCTCCAAACTGCCAATATCCCAAACCCCTCCTTTAAAGTGCAGGCATTGTACTTCCCATTTCCAGGACTCAAGTCCGACTATATGAAAATAACCGGTTTCCCTGAATCCCTTCACTAAATATTACCCTGCTCACACTCCAACAGATCGTCAGGTCCCAAGTATCATTCGTCTCCATTCACTCCTATCTAACACGCTCCTGCACGCTTGCTGGAAGTCCAAGCCCCTCGCCCACAAAACCTCCTTTACCCCCTCTTTCCAACCCTTTCGAGGATGACCCCTACCCCTCTTTCCTTCCCCTATAGATTTATATGCTTTCCATGTCATTCTACTTTGATCCATTCTCTCTAAATGACCAAACCACCTCAACAACCCCTCTTCTGCCCTCTGACTAATGCTTTTATTAACTCCACACCTTCTCCTAATTTCCACACTCCGAATTTTCTGCATAATATTTACACCACACATTGCCCTTAGACAAGGCATCTCCACTGCCTCCAACCGTCTCCTCGCTGCTGCATTTACCACCCAAGCTTCACATCCATATAAGAGTGTTGGTACTACTATACTTTCATACATTCCCTTCTTTGCCTCCATAGATAACGTTTTTTGACTCCACATATACCTCAACGCACCACTCACCTTTTTTCACTCATCAATTCTATGATTAACCTCATCCTTCATAAATCCATCCGCCGACACTTCAACTCCCAAGTATCTGAAAACATTCACTTCTTCCATACTCCTCCTCCCCAATTTGATATCCAATTTTTCTTTATCTAAATCATTTGATACCCTCATCACCTTACTCTTTTCTATGTTCACTTTCAACTTTCTACCTTTACACACATTCTCAAACTCATCCACTAACCTTTGCAATTTTTCTTTAGAATCTTCCATAAGCACAGTATCATCAGCAAAAAGTAACTGTGTCAATTCCCATTTTGAATTTGATTCCCCATAATTTAATCCCACCCCTCTCCCAAACACCCTAGCATTTACTTCTTTTACAACCCCATCTATAAATATATTAAACAACCATGGTGACATTACACATCCCTGTCTAAGACCTACTTTTACCAGGAAGTATTCTCCCTCTCTTCTACATACCCTAACCTGAGCCTCACTATCCTCATAAAAGCTCTTTACAGCATTTAGTAACTTACCACCTATTCCATATACTTGCAACATCTGCCACATTGCTCCTCTATCCACTCTAACATATGCCTTTTCTAAATCCATAAATGCAATAAAAACTTCCCTACCTTTATCTAAATACTGTTCACATATATGCTTCAATGTAAACACTTGATCTACACATCCCCTACCCACTCTGAAGCCTCCTTGCTCATCTGCAATTCTACATTCTGTCTTGCCTCTAATTCTTTCAATTATAACCCTACCGTATACTTTTCCTGGTATACTCATTAAACTTATTCCTCTATAATTTTTACAATCTCTTTTGTCCCCTTTCCCTTTATATAAAGGGACTATACATGCTCTCTGCCAATCCCTAGGTACCTTCCCCTCTTTCATACATTTATTAAACAAAAGTACCAACTACTCCAACACTATATCCCCCCCTGCTTTTAAAATTTCTGTCATGATCCCATCAGTTCCAGCTGCTTTACCCCCTTTCATTCTACGTAATGCCTCACGTACCTCCACCACACTTACATTCTGCTCTTCTTCACTCCTAAAAGATGGTATACCTCCCTGGCCAGTGCATGAAATTACCGCCTCCCTTTCTTCCTCAACATTTAAAAGTCCCTCAAAATATTCTTGCCATCTACCTAATACCTCCCTCTCCCCATCTACTAACTCCCCTACTCTGTTTTTAACTGACAAATCCATACTTTCCCTAGGCTTTCTTAACTTGTTTAACTCACTCCAAAATTTTTTCTTATTTTCATTAAAATTTCTTGACAGTGCCTCTCCCACTCTTTCATCTGCTCTCCTTTTGCACTCTCTCACCACTCTCTTCACCTTTCTTTTACTCTCCATATACTCTGCTCTTCTTATAACACTTCTACTTTGTAAAAACCTCTCGTAAGCTACCTTTTTCTCTTTTAAAACACCCTTTACTTCTTCATTCCACCAATTACTCCTCTTTCCTCCTGCCCCCACCCTCCTATGACCACAAACTTCTGCCCCACATTCTAATACTGCATTTTTAAAACTATTCCAACCCTCTTCAACCCCTCCACTACTCATCTTTGCACTAGCCCACCTTTCTGCCAATAGTCGCTTATATCTCGCCCGAACTTCCTCCTCCCTTAGCTACATGTTTCTTTTTTTAGTATACTGGTAATCACTTACCAAGTTAGAGAGACCTCATAAAAAGAAAAAAAAAAGAGCAGAAGTGGATAAACATGACAATTAAAATTGCCCTCCCAACTGCAATATCCTCTCCTTTCTCCTTCAGAGTAAAGGAACAGTCTCTCTCCATCCTAAACTTAAGTCCAGCTAATTGGTTTTCCTGAATCTCTTCATAAATGTTATCTTGCTTGTGCTCTAACAGTACATCATAATAAAAAAGCAATTATCTGCACTTACTTCGATCTCTAGCATTCCCACAAAAGCCTGTTGGATGATCAAGCCCTAGCATTCATAACCTGTTCATACTCAAAATCTCATTTACTCCCTTTCTCCAATCCTTCCTGAGTAACCCCCACCCCTTTCTTTCATCCACCCCAGATTTTTATACCTTGGTCATCCTATTCTTCTCCATCCTCTCTAAATGCCCAGAGCAACTCCACATCCCTCTGAATTATATAAATTTTTTTTTTTTTTTTTTTGTGCATCTACATTGATAAATTTGGTGCCACACTCACTGAGGTTGCCAGCCCACAATAGTGATTGTTATATTAATTAAGGATTAGATTAACACTGCTCAGTTCTAACATACATGATCACTTTTATTTTTCTGTAAGCCTTCATGTACCTAAAAATAGCATGCCTTCAATCAGTGTTAACCATATTTTTGCACACAGCGATCTCCCAACAGAAAGATGTATACAAAAGCTTTTGAAGACCAGTCTGACAATGACAGTGAAACATCCAGTGTTTGCTCTGAGCGCTCGTTTGATTCCTGTAGGAGAAATGATGTAAGTGTTTCTAAATGTATTATAGCTGAACTCAAAAAAGTAAAATATATCAATAATCTTGAATAATATGTAAGCACTTCACTACTTTTTTGTTTGCCACTTTGTGCCAGTGAAATTAAAAACTGATCTTTCAAAACTTTATGAAGGCTTCTTTGATCAAATTTGCTTTTTTGATGATCCTGTTTGTTTTGAATGTATGATTTTGTTGTTGTGGCATTTGTTTGTGATGAGCTCTATGATACTTGTAAAATATCATTTAATATTTAGTTATAACTAGTTTTATGAACCGCAGTTATGAAAAGTGGAATATAGCCCAAATGGCTGAAATAGTTTGTCCTTAATATTTTCTATATACATGTTTGAATTACTTCTGTTTTATATTTATTTTGCTAGTTAGGATAATGCCCTTGTAGTTTTCTGAAAATCCCTCATTGCACATCCCAGTTATGCATTAAATTTTTTTCCTTTTAAATTCTACATTGCTATGTGTTTTTCTTTCCTCTTTTTATGTATTCTTATTGTATATTATGTTCTCTTTGAAAGTAGGCAGTAGAAGAATTGGAATACTCATCAGTAGGTGATTAAGGTGTCATACTCCCTGTCTCCTGGAAGTAAAGATCTGCTTTTATTTGGTTATCTGTAACCCCACATGATAGTTTACTTAGTTATTTCGTCCTTGTTATTACCCTATGTATGAATACTTTTTCCTCCTTAGTCTTTGTACAGTGGAACTCCGGTTTTTGCACTTAATCTGTTCCAGAAGGTCATTCTAAATCCAAAACATGTGAAAACTGAAGCAATATTTCCCATAAGAAATAGTGTAAATACAATTAATCCGTTCCAGACACCTAAAAGTATTAACAAAAAATACATTTTTTAAAGAATAGCTATAGTTTTACATACAGGAAACAATGAGAAATAAATATAAAGCACTAATGAAATGGATAAATGAACATTTAAATCACTATTACATACCTTTATTGAAGACGCTTGTTGGGAGGAGAGTTTGGAGACGGGACAAAATACTTAAATATGACACGCTAATATCAACTCTACGGTTTATTTATCTATGACAATTCATCTCATATGCCAAGTGAGTGTAAAACGAAAGCCTGTAATTGTTTTACATGATGGTAGGATTGCTGGTGTCCATTTTTTTGTCTCATAAACATGCAAGGTTTCAGGTACGTCTTGCTACTTCTACTTACACTTAAGTGACACTACACATACATGTACAAGCATATGTATATGCACACCCCTCTGGGTTTTCTTCTATTTTCTTACTAGTTCTTGTTTTTGTTTATTGCCTCTTATCTCCATGGGGAAGTGGGACAGAACTCTTCCTCCGTAAGCTATGCGTGTTGTAAGAGGCGACTAAAATGCCAGGAGCAAGGGGCTAGTAACCCCTTCTCCTGTATAAATTACTAAATTTAAAAAGAGAAACTTTTGTTTTTCTTTTTGGGCCACCCTGCCTTGGTGGGATACGGCCGGTTTGTTGAAAAAAAAAAAGACATAATAAACAATATTAATAACATAGAAATATGATATATACTCTAGAATGAATAAAATGTGTCATTATGTATGTGAGAAGTGGTGGTGGTGTTGGGTTTATCGGGGCCACTGACAGCATAAGCTGTACATATAGTGGTGGTGGTGGTGGTGGCGGCAGCAGAGGCCACCACCACTATTCACGCTGAAACAATGTACGTAATTTATAAATAAATATTTACACTATAATTTATAAATAAGAAATATTTACACTATAAATAAGAAATGTAGGTAGGTTGGTAGACAGCAACTGCCCAGGGAGGTACTACCGTCCCGCTGAGTGAGTGTAAAACGAAAGCCTGTAATTGTTTTACATGATGGTAGGATTGCTGGTGTCCATTTTTCTGTCTCATGAACATGTAAGGTTTCAGGTACGTCTTGCTACTTCTACTCACACTTAGGTCACACTACACGTACATGTACAAGCATATATATACATACATACCCCTCTTGGCTTTCTTCTATTTTCTTTCTAGTTCTTGTTCTTGTTTATTTCCTCTTATCTCCATGGGGAAGTGGAACAGAATTCTTCCTCCGTAAGCCATGCGTGTCATAAGAGGCGACTAAAATGCCGGGAGCAAGGGGCTAGTAACCCCTTCTCCTGTATATATTACTAAATGTAAAAGGAGAAACTTTCATTTTTTCTTTTGGGCCACCCCGCCTCGGTGGGATACGGCCGGTGTGTTGAAAGAAATGTAGATAGTAGGCTGATAGACAGCAACTGCCCAGGGAGGTACTACCATCCTGCCAAGCGAGTGTAAAACGAAAGCCTGTAATTGTTTTACACGATGGTAGGATTGCTGGTGTCCTTTTTTCTGTCTCATAAACGTGCAAGATTTCAGGTACGTCTTGCTACATCTACTTACACTTAGGTCACACTACACATACATGTACAAGCATATAGTATATACAGTGGACCCCCAGTTAACGATATTTTTTCACTCCAGAAGTATGTTCAGGTGCCAGTACTGACCGAATTTGTTCCCATAAGGAATATTGTGAAGTAGATTAGTCCATTTCAGACCCCCAAACATACACGTACAAACACACTTACATAAATACACTTACATAATTGGTCGCATTCGGAGGTGATCGTTATGCGTGGGTCCACTGTACACACCCCTCTGGGTTTTTCTTCTATTTTCTTACTAGTTCTTGTTCTTGTTTATTTCCTCTTACCTCCATGGGGAAGTGGAACAGAATTCTTCCTCCATAAGCCATTCGTGTTGTAAGAGGCGACTAAAATGCCAGGAGCAAGGGGCTAGTAACCCCTTCTCCTGTATATATTACTAAATGTAAAACTTTCGTTTTTCCTTTTGGGCCACCCCCACCTCGGTGGGATACGGCTGGTGTGTTGAAAGAAAGAAGATATGCACTCCCCTCTGGGTTTTCTTCTATTTTCTTTCTAGTTCTTGTTCTTGTTTATTTCCTCTTACCTCCATGGGGAAGTGGAACAGAATTCTTCCTCCGTAAGCCATGTGTGTTGTAAGAGGCGACTAAAATGCCGGGAGCAAGAGGCTAGTAACCCCTTCTCTTGTATAAATTACTAAATTTAAAAAGAGAAAATTTTCGTTTTTCTTTTCGGGCCACCCTGCCTTGGTGGGATATGGCCGGTTTGTTGAAAAAAAAAAATAAGAAATACACTTACCGTGGAGATGCTGGCATTGGTTTAGGGTAGTGGAAGATATGCAGGCAGCATATGTTGTCAGTGGCCCCATATACCTCCAACAACATTGGAGGAGTTAGTTTCATGCCGTCCTTTTTCTATCTCTTAATCGCTTAACTTATTTGCTACACTGTTAATGCTACACTTCATCGCTGGCTGGCGCTATAGCCTTTATCAACTCTTGCAGCTTTAGTGTCGTACATATCGTAGAATCACTGAAGAAGGCACATTCTCCCTTCTCTCTCAGACCTTACCAAAGGGCTGGCACTAGGAACTTTCTTTGGGCCCATGGTGGCTTATTTTGCAGTTGCAATTAATAAACAGGAGCAAAAAGTGCGAGATGTTTCAGACGAATGCTTACTCAACCAATGACAAAGCCAGACTGACTGTGTCCCTGGGCGGGCAGACGTATCTAATACATATGATTTCTGGATCGAGGTCCGACATCCAAAACAAAATTTTGCCCAAAAAAAGGGTTCTAAATCCAAAATGTCTGATATCTGGTACGTACGAAAACTGGAGTTCCACTGTATTTCCTTTTTCTCATGGCTTTCTGTCTATATTCTGTGTTACCTTTTACTTTTCCACTTGTATATGTTGATAGTGATTTCATTTTGTGTCTTAATTAAGATTTCTCAATTTATGATATGTTAACGTTACACTTGATATTAATAAGAACTATTTTGACTGATGCCTGAAGAAAGGAAAAAAGTTATAGAGTGAAATAGTGTGAAACTTTGATTGTTGTTTGTGGTGGATTCAAAATGGAGGGCAAATGTTGTTATGCTGGAGAGACTTGGGGATGTTAATAATGAACAGAGGAAGGGTTGTCTTAGTGGCTGGAATGCCTGTAGTGATGAATTGGGTTGGTTTGAGTAATGTAATTGGGCTCATAGTGGGTAGAATTGCTGATGCATAAATTGTGGCCAGACTTCTAACTTTGCATCTGCATAATTCTTAAATTTTCCATTGAATTTTGCATTTTTGGTGTAATTTGCTTCAGAAAAAGGTTCTATACCACTTTAGATTTTTCTTTAAATAGTGTGATGGTGAAAGGGTTAACTTAACATCAAAATTTAGATTTTTTACACCGAAACTAACTTAGCAACATGACCTAAACCTAGCCTAGAATTAAACAATTGAAGAATATAATTTAACCTAATCTTATCAGCCTTAATTTAACATCAGTTAAATGTGTCTTGATTTTGTGATGTTATGACTGATTTTTGCAAAGTTATTATAATGGTGAATTTAGACTCTGCTTGTTTGGCAAAACAGTCATTTTTACAAGCAGAGATTGCCTTGTCTGCCTGAAAAGCATGATATGTATAGTATACACTTAGTTTGTAACAGTTTTGTGTATGTACTGAAGCTGTCTAGAGCATGTAGTTCAGTTTAATGTATTTTGTTATTGTACATGCTTTCATCATTTTAATCTTTATTTTTATAACACTGTAATCCTACTTAATTTAGAGACAGTATTAAGTAATGACTTTAAAACATGTACCAAGTGCCTGGTTGCCAAAGTTGATTTTGTTACAGGTGGATTTTGCATTTTATTTTTTGTGTAGCTTATCAATGGTTCTCTTCTTGCTGTACCCTATAGCTAATCTGGTATGGATCACAACAACGTATACTCAAGGAAGTTTGGGAGCCAACAGCAAAGGTGAGACCATTTATTATACAGAGTTATGGTGTAGTGCTTTCTTTGTAATTGCATAATTATGGTATTCTGATGGATCTATGGAACTGCATGATTATCTTGGTTGCTTTGTTAATGTTCTCTATGTGGAATGTTATATATTTAATTTCTAGGTTTTATTATTGTGTTGAGAGATATGACCTCCATGCTCATATTTTCTTCATATTACCCATTCACTCTGTATCGGTAAGTTATTTAACCCTTTAAGGGTCCGTCCTGTAGATCTACAGCTTTGAAGTCAGGGTTCAAACCGTAGACCTATGACATGAGCTCAGCTCACTCAGATAACCTGTGAGCGGTAAATTTGGGGCTAGATATGAGAGACCACATCTATGTGATGTGTACCACGTAAAATAAATCCTGCCGTACGCAGTGCATAATGAGAGAAAAAAGCTGCGACCATAGTTTTAGATTAAAAAGGCTCCTTTCCGATGTTTTTTTGTATGTTTTTACAGTTGTATTCATGATTTCTTGGTCTCATTTGATAGAATAGAAGATATTTTACAGAAATAGAGATGATTTTGATTGGTTTTAGTACGGGAAATGGCTTGAAACTGAGCTCAGAGTAGCGGTAATGTTCAGTTTTTGCCAATGTTCAAGAGTAAACAAATGTCGTTACGAGTCTAATATGCGTCAGCTGGTGAGTCTAATATACATTTGTGAATGTGCTGATATTTATACAGTTATTGCAACATTTCATAACAGTAAATCTTCTATTCTTTGGTGTGAGTAAAAATTCATTATGTGAATAAAAAATCAAAATGGAATTTATTTGTAAAGCCTGAAAATGTAACTAATGAACTAAGGAAATGTTAGTTTAGTGCCAGGAATGCCTGCATTGCTTATTCTGGATCCTATTTTGAACTTTGTGTGTTAAATTTCCCAAATTACCAATTTCTGATCCCTTTATTGGGTAGTTGAAACAGTTGACTGGGTGATTTCTTGTGCTCAGTCGGTAAAATAGAAGTAATAGTAGCGAAATAGTTAAGAATTTGGTCAATTGGAGAAACATAATTGGCCTAAAATGGGAGTCAGAGTTGGTAAAATCACCAACATGTAAATATTGCTGACACATCAAAATTCGCAAGAGCATAATTTCATCAGTTTTCCATCAAATTTCATACTTTTTTGCTTTATTACCTTCAGAAAAAGATTCTCTACCATTTCATAAGAAAAAATAAATGTTTTTGAAAATTCTTGGAACCAAGATGTCACTCTGAGATTTGGCCTCTGGACCCTGAAAGGGTTAAGCATTTGGTCCTTGCTAGCAGATGTTTTTTAAAATAAGAAAGTGAGTGAATTGCTAATGATATGGAATTGATATAGTATTGATGTATTGAGCTCTAAGCCTCTTTTAAGAATTGAAAATTTATAATTTCATTACAGGTTGCATGCAATTTCATTGGAGCAGATTTGTTGTAATGTGGTTCTGGTATTTTGGCTAAAGAGTGAACTTGCTAAAGAATCTCATGGGAGAATTCCCCATATTCTAGAATTCTAAAGAGTGATCAGTGCAGCATAGTTATTTTTGCTGGTGCAGTCAATCACATACATGGGGTAGCAGCTGTTGCTAGCAATAAGATACACTTCCAGTCAAGAGCAGTGATGTGTGGCCCTTAGGAGCTTAGTGCTTAATTTGATTATAATTGTACTTAGTTATTTACTGAAGAATAAATTTAAAAAAGCAAACAGAAGAGGCAAAAGAAATGAGCAAAAAAGCTATCAATTGCTCAGAGATTTATAAAAAAAAAAATCAGTAACAAATGAATATGGGTTGTTGAAGGTGACAAAGATAGAAATTATACTTTTTCAGTAAGGAGAACTATTATGGATAAAGACATGCACAGTTACAGTGGGTGCTCTCTCAGTAGTTGGTGCAGTAAAATAAGATACATTGGACCCTCGGCTAACACCTGCATCGGCTAATGCCAAATTCGGCTAACACCTCACTTTGGCATAAAAAAATTGGCTCGGCTAACACCAAAAAACTTGGTTAAGAGCTTTCATCCCGAACGTGTCGGCACGGCTCCCTGAGCGAGCCCGGCCACTCGCTCTGTGTACCAGCCAGTGTGCCATTGTTTACAAAGCCAGTGAAGACAATTCTGCGTGTACATGTGATATATTTTGTATTATTCAATTGTTTTTGGTGCTTGTAACTGCTAAATAAACCACCATGGGCCCCAAGAAAGCTTCTAGTGCCAGCCCTATGGTAAACAATATCAGAAACACACAAAATTTAAGAAAAAGTTTGTAGAAAAATACGAAAATGGTGATGGTAGTGGTTGTGATGGTGGTAGAGGAGTTGTAGTGGTGGTGGTAGAGGGTGGTAGCGATCGTGATGGTGGTAGAAGGTGGTAGTGGTTGTGATGGTGGTATGGTATGATAAGGCATGGTGAGGCTGCCAGTTCTGACAAAAAGCTGCTGAAAAATATGTGCAGGACTTTAAGGGGTACATAGTGGCTGAAAAATTAAAACCCCAGGCCTGTTTTGGAAGAAAATGACAAACAGGACCTATATTACTCAGGAGGAATAGGCACTCCCAGGACACAAGCCAGAAAAGGACTTGTTTCCTGAAGTCTTTATGGAAGGGGATTCCCGGGTGTTGCGCATGTGTCTTAATTTCATCTTGTCGGTATTATATACCATTCTTGTACTACTACTACTACTACTACCACCACCTCTTCCTGCCTATATATAGCCGTCCTGCTCCACTTCTGGTTAGTGTGACTTTGTCAATGGTCCAAGTCAGACCGAAACGTCGTCGTAAGCTTCTCTCTTTTATGTGCGGGTTATTTGTGTATATTTCCCCTTCCAAACAATAGAACACCTTCATTCTCTGCCCTCCTCCCATCTCATCACTCATCAATAAGTCCACAATAAAGGTAAGTGTGAAGTTATTATTGTTTTATTCTTCATGTATCATTGTTTTCTGTGTAGGGAAATGTATATTTCATGTAAAAAAATTATTTTGTTTAATACTTTTGGGTGTCTGGAATGGATTAATTGGATTTCCATTATTTCTTATGGGGAAAATTAATTCGGTTAAAGGCTAAATCGATTAAAGGCTAGCTCTTTGGAATGGATTAAAGGCATTAGCCGAGGGTACACTGTACTTTATTTCAGCATGATACAATATTTGTACCGAGGTGAATGCCATTTAGGTGTGCATGCAGAAAGCCATTAATATGCAAAGCATTTTGGGCAAACAAAGGAGAGCTAATATCATGGATAGACAGAGGGATCATCCCACAGCTGCTAAAAACAACAGACATAGCCCCACTCCACAAAAGGGGCAGTAAAGCAATAGCAAAGAACTACAGACTGATAGTGCTAACATCCTATATCATAAAAAGTCTTTGAAAGGGTTCTAAGAAGCTAGATTGCCATTCCTCTAGATACCCATCAGTTATACAACCCAGGGCAACATGGGTTTAAAGCAGGTTGCTCCTGTCTGTCCCATCTACTGGACCACTATGACAAGGTCTTGGATGCTCTAGAAATCAAAGTGCAGATGTAGTATACACAGACATTGCAAAAGCCTTTGACAAGTGTGACCATGGTGTAATAGCACACAAAATGCGAGATAAAGGAATAACAGGAAAAGTTGGTAGATTTATTTATAATTTCCTAACAAATAGAACACAGAGTAATAGTAAACAGAGTAAAGTCTGAGGTGGCTACTGTGGAAAGCTCTGTTCCACAATGCACAGTACTCGCTTCCATCCTGTTCCTCATCTTCATATCTGACATAGACAGGGATGTAAGCCACAGCACCATGTCTTCCTTTGTAGATGACACAGAAATTTGCATGACAGTGTCCTCCATTGAAGACACTGCAAGACTCCAGACGAACATCAACCAAATCTTTAAATGGGCCGCAGAAAACATGAAGTTAAATGATGAGAAATTTCAGTTACTCAGTCCTGGGAGTGATAATGTCAGAGGATCTCACTTTCAAAGACCACACCATTGTATCAATTGCATCTGCTAGAAAAATGACAAGATGGATAATGAGAACCTGCAAAACTAGGGATGCCAAGCCCATGATGACACTCTTCAGGTCGCCTGTTTTATTTAGGCTGGAATATTGCTGACCCCTAATGGCACCTTTCAAGGGACGTAAAATTGCTGACCTAGAAAATGGATAGAGAACCTTTATGGCACACAACTTCTATGAAATGCCTCAATTACTGGGAACAGTTGAAGTTCCTAAACCTGAATTCCCTAGAATGCAGGCGGGAGAGATGCACGATTATATACTCTTTGAAAATCCTAGAGGGATTAGTACTAAACTTGCACACAAAAATCACTCCCTATGAAAGCAAAAGACTTGGCAGACAATGCAACATCCCCCCATTGAAAAGCAGGGGTGCCACTAGCACAATAAGAGAGAACTCACTAAATGTCCGGAGCCCAAGACTGTCCAGCCAGACTGTGGTTCGTACGTCAGGTTGTGTGCGGCCAACAGTAACAGCCTAGTTGATCAGGCCCTGAGCTATCATGAGGCCTGGTCACAGACCGGGCCGTGGGGGTGTTGACCCCTGAAACCCTCTCCAGGTATACAAAGGAAGAACAGTTAAAATGGGTGCTCTCTCAGTGGTTGGATCAACTATTGTACTCAGTGTCACTTAGCTTGACCTCACATTTCTACTTTAGTTAACTATCCTATTTGGAGGGGGAGAGGGAGGGGGAGGGGCTAATTCCAAATTTTTTTTGTACAGTACCATGCATCAGTATATTTGAAACAAAAATAATAGGGCAAGAGAAGAGTGAACATCTCTTCAACAATTATAAATTTAAAAAATCACATTAATTGATCTAATTTTACCAGAAAATGGGATAAACCACATCTGTGGCAAAGGTAAATGTATTGAATTAAATAACCAATAAGAAATAAATTGTACGTGTGGATGTGAAATCTGGAAGACAGACCCTTCTCTTCACATCAGTTCCTGTATCAAGAT